TTACGGTGTAAAAGCCAGTGGATACTAATCTTGATTTAGAGATGGACATCTTCTAGACACAAAACCTATGTATCTGTTAAGATTTGTAAAACAGAATGAAAAGGAATGGGACCCAGGTGAAGGGGGTACAATAAGTAAATGACAGAGAGGCACTGACCCCTTATATATTTTTATCTAAAAGAAAATGATTTGGCTGCCCTAAACTTTCAAGTCTGACAAAGGGGTAATCTATAAAAAGGATACTTGTGGAATTGAGAGTATTTTTGGAAATTTTAATTCTTTTACCCTATTCTTTTAAATGAAAAGTCAGTCAGAGTTTACCCGCTTCCCTCAAATGGCTGCAATTTCAAGTGACATATAAATACTTACCTGGGCATCTGTGCCCACAACATAATTCCTGAGTTTTGGGATAGTCAACAGTACGAATGTCTCAATGATATATGAAGAGCACTTCAATCTGAATGTGTTCACATGGGAGATACTGTTTACCATCTTTATGTCTCATAAAGTCCAGATTAAATGAAGGGGAAAATCAGGGCGTTCTTTACTGAAGATGCTTATTTAAGTAACACAATGGGTAGCTGGTACTTGAAAGTGACTGGAAAAATTGTATTAGATGACAATTACTGGATGTAAAAATCAGACTGTTTTTGACCTGGGTATATGGATAACTTTTTTTTTTTTTTTAATTTAAGGATACTACTGATGGCAACATACCTGTGCATGGCACTAAGGGATCCTATATAAATCTAGTATGTTCTAAATATTATGAGGAAAATCAACTAAAAAGTGAACAGATATTGTTATTTATCTAATAGGAACTGTTTTAGATATGATGTACAATGTCAGAAAAAAAAAAACCCTTTTAAAAGGAATCAAGTAGTTTATAGACTCTGAGAGACATATAAAAGTCTTCCCAGATTTAGACTTCATCCTTTTCCCAAATGTATACAAAACAGAAACTTCTTTTCTTTTTTCGGAGTTCTTTGCTCTTTATAAAATATCAAAACTAAGCAGAATAGTTTTTGCCATAAGGAAAAATATCCAAAGCATATTATTTTTCCAGGAAAACTACATTGGTTGAAAGCAATTAAATTTTATATATGTCCATCAAGCTAAAGTGAACTGTTAACCCTGAGACTAAGATAAATTTAAAGAGATTTTCTTCTGCAAACCCACATTCATACATATTATCAATGTATAATATCATTATACCTAGAAAAACAGATGGATTTTTACATTGTTGTAAACAGAATTCACTCATCAGCCTCAGTAACTCTTCTATTTGTAGTTTATTAGAAAATACCTACGTCAAAATTACGATGACTATTTTTCACTTCTTAATGCCATCATTTACTATTTGAGCAATAGTATTTGAGGCAGGTACTTGGCCTCCCTGAGCCCTAGATTCCTTACTGTTGGATGGGGGTAATCGTGACCGTTATAGAGTTTAATCCCTAGTGTTGTTATTAGGCTTAAACATTGGTATAAATGCATGTATACATCCAATGGGCTTAGAAGAGTGGCTAGCACATAGCACACATCAATAAATGCCATTTTCATCGTTGTAATTATCGTTATATAACCCTGTCTTCCCATTTGAAAAACCTACCTTAATTTTAAGGACTTATTTAGGGATGGAAATTGGATGAAATTGACTAAGGCACATTTGCTTTTATTAAAAAATGAAATTGTTGGCCATGGGTCGCAGCAGCTCCGGAGGTGGCAGGCGCGGCGGGAGGAGCAGAGCTGCAGCGGCTGGGCAGCCCAGCTTCGAGAAGGCTCTGGGCGCTGCAGCCTGCAGGCACCTGCACGCGCCGGCCCACCCACCGCGAAGCTCCGGAGGAAAATCTAAAATCTCCAGTAGTTGTGATTCTTTGCTAAATTATTCCAGCTTCCCTGAGGGCGCAGATAAGGAGGAGCCCAAGAGGAGGTAGGGGAGGCTGTCAGGTACAAATCCTGCAGCTGCAAAAGTGGAAGGGAAGCCAAAAGAGGCGGTGGGAAAGGATAAATCTTCAGAGAAAAAAGTGCAAAGGGGAAAGGGGAGCAAAGGGAAAACAGGCTGAATTGGCTGACCAAGAAACGAAGAGACTTACCTGCAGAAAACGGAAAAACTAAAAATGAGGAGAGCCCAGCCTCTGATGAAGCCCGAGAAAAAGAAGCTATGTCTGATTAATATCGTATCCCACGTCTAATCCGTGGTCCCTGCCTCCCTTCTTGTACAGCTCACAGGAATAATTCTATCAACTCTTTTGTAAATCCAAGTTTTTTAGTAGCTCTAGAAACATTTTTAAGAAGGAGGGAATCCCACCTTAGCCCATTTTTTTAAGTGTACTTTTTTTTTTTTAAGAGGTGAAATAATTTGCTGAATTTTTTTTTGGTACAACCAGTAAATAGTGGGATATTGAATATGGGAGAGGCTTTGATTGTCTTGTCAGCTTAACATTCCATAGATGGGATAGTTTTTATATACTATAATACCAAGCATACTAAATGGCAATTTGGAGCCAGTCATGCATCTAATATGTCTTGAACATTTTAAATTACTTCTATTACCATGTTGATTTTGGTAGGGTTGTTTCCTAAGGAAAACCACTCCTTGGTCTTGGCTCTCACTGTCAGAATTGTGTGAATTCTGTAACATGTTGGACGTGGTAGTCCGGTTTCCTAGTACCTTTGTTAATGTGCTGTGCAAGATTAAAAATTTGAGCATGTATATGTGATATCAAATTGTGAATTAATGGGACTTAACAATGTAACAGCATATCAACATTTGAAGATATTGGTATTTGATATACTGTTAAGAAAAATTTGACTCCAAATTTTAATCTGGAAGGTCACTGGAATAACTTAGAAAAGAATCACAACTACATGATTTTTCAGATTTTCGGTACATAAGTTCAGGATCCTGTACAAATTGAATTGTCTGTACTGGTCCTCAGAACAACCAATAAATACTCAATTGTGAAGGAAGAAAAATGAAATTGTTTATAGTAGTTTTATTGAATTTTGAAAATGTCGCCTCTTCATCTTCCTCTTTGTACAATTTTAACAACTATCACCCATCTTTGGATATGGTTGCTATACAATTTCATAGCCTTGATAACAGCAGGTCATTTTAATGAGAGCAAACATCTAAGCCAAGATAAAGTGGTTCTATGTTGGTTTAGTAGCAAAGAAATACATTCAGTGGCAGCAACTCTTTAAGAAAAGCTGGTTAGAATATAAAAATGGGTTACTTTAGACATGATGAAGTCTAAATGGGAAATCTGAATCTCTCTGCTTTTGCTTTCCTTCTTTCCTCTCCCTTCCTCAAAGCTGAGTATTTCTTGGCAATTAATGAAACATGAGAGGATTTAGAAGACTTATGTTTGGAAACTAAGCCAACCTGAATGATTCACATACTAATTTTGACAGGTGCACTTGCATTTATTTTTGGTTGAGAATGCCAGGAAATTCTATCCAACCAAATAAAAGAAAGTAAATCCCTTAATTTTAGGTTCCAGTGCGGGTGTCTCATAATTAAACAAAACTTGTTTGCTAAACATATGCCCAACTGAAAGTCGGAGCAATGGAAGGGCTCTTATAAAATAGAAATTTTAAGTGACAGTGCACTAAGTTCTGCCACATAGCTGTACAGGCTCCCCGTTCGCGTCCCAAATCATAATTTACCTTGCTTCTTTCTTTCTTTTTTTTTTTTTTTACAATTAGTTTATTGTCAAATTAGTTTCCACATAACACTCAGTGATACCTTGCTTCTTTCATGCTATATATTTACACCATCTGTCATTCCAAAGTGTATGTTTTAGACTTGAAAGTTTGTGGCAAGTGGCATGCTACACTTCTGTAGAGGAAGTGTGCCATAGCTGGCATGGTCTGTGCATATGAACACTTAAATGAGTGAGGATACTTTATAGGACAGTCACCTGAATTACTGGGACCTTGTGCAGTTAATTTTTACTTAATTTGAGTCTGTAATTAACTCTTAGAATTTTCACAAAGGGTATACCAAAATTTAGCCTTTGAAGAAAATATCGTGTATGTTTTCGATTGCCTACCACTTGCCAGATTACTGTAGATCTCTCAAAATACATCACATACTTTTCAAAGCTGTAAGAGGGTAATATGACCAGTTCATGCACATGGTGAATTGATTACTCAGTAAAAATGGTGAATAAAAATTCCAGTTGACATACAATAACCTTGAATGGATGCTCTGAGAGAAACAGCAGACTTTTAACTAACTCCTCCTTTCCCATCAAAAGCTATTATAAACGTCACGATTAATGAAAGATCTGTGAGCTGGGGCTCTCTATTCGTCACTTTAAAAACAAGAAGCTCCAAGTTCCAAATGAGGGGTTTTAGAGAGATTTTGTATTACTTTTTACTTTTAGTTGCTTTGTCTACCATGTAGTGGGTAGTCCAAAATACAACAAAATTTCTTTAAATGCTGCATTGCAGGTTTCCTTTCTTAAAGGCTTTTCCTTTAAGATCCATTAATGTTCTCCTTGACCATTATTTCCTAAGAGGATGTTGCTTTTGACCCTTTTACTAAAGCTCCCTAGGGTTCCTATGACAGTGTGGTCTCCCTTACTGCAATGAGCTTTAAACCAAACTTGTTTAACTAAGGCTATGTTTCTGTCTGGAGGTTATCAACACAAATATGCCACCTTCTACCTTAACTGACAAGACAGTCTAGGCTAGAAAGAAAATTAATGAGAAATTGCAGTTATTTTTTAAAATTTTAAATGTTTATTTATTTTTGGTAAAGAGAGAGACAGAGCAGGAGTGGGGGAGGGGCAGAGAAGGGGAGACACAGAATGTGAGGCAGGTTCCAGGCTCCGAGCTGTCAGCACAGAGCCCAATGTGGGGCTTGAACTCATGAGCTGTGAGATCATGATCGGAGTTGAAATTGGACACTTAACTGACTGAGCCACCAGGTGCCTGAGAAATTGCAGTTATTTTCTTTTACAAATAAATAAAATCAAATCGGACAACATACTGTAGTGACCAGAAAAGTTTTTTAATATATTCAAATGATAATTTATTCACATATATATACACATATACTTATTGCTACAATGAGAAAAGGTTTATAAAAAAGGTTTTTTTGTTTGATTTTTCTTTTAAGGGATAAATGTGCTTAGGTTCCTTTTAAATAAAAGTATCCTTTGATGACAGTGGAAAATATTCAACATCTAGTCAATAACCCCACTAAAGAAATAAAATGGTCATGCTACCTCCAAAGGTAAAGACAACTGGCAAATCTTAATTATGCCACAAAAGTTGAGGGAGTTATGTAAAAGAATAAAGACATTTGGGGATTTCTCAACCTCCAGATAACCACAGAGAAAATGCAAGTCATAAGGTAAAGAATAATAATGCTAGCCAACAATTATGTTTCTATGTACCGGGTACTACACACACTTTACATATGATAGTATCACATTTCCTCTGCACTAACCAATAAATGAGTTCTCTTCAGTCACTATAAATCATCAGATTGTGGCTGTTCATTGTTTCATGGTTTCAGGCAAGTAACCAGAAACACAGCAACAGAAATGTGAGTCCCTAGTTTGGGCAACTACTCAAACACAGTTTTTAGGACATTAGATGCTAAGAGATCTGTAAGGCTGATTTTAAGTGCATATTGGAAATAAATCCTGAAGAAGACTCACCCTCTGCAATATCATCACAGGTAACAGTTTTATAAATTCATAAACATTAAATTAATATGGAATAGTCTAAAAGAAACTCTTTAAGAGGCATCCAGTCTCTTATAGGCTTCTTCAATGAAAGTTAACATATTCTTCATTTGGGATGAATTATGGAGAACATCCAAGTCCTTCAGAAGAGCGTTATGGTTTGGAATTAACGTCAGAATTTCTTTCTGTGGGTATAATAGTACAATTAGTTTAACATTTTTGATAGTTGAGATATAATTGACATGGAACATTGTATTAGTTTCAGGTATACAACACAATAATGTGCTATTTGTATATACTGCAAAACCATCACCACAATGAGTCTAGTTAACATTCATCACTATATATAACTACAAATTATTCTTATAAACTTTTTAAGATTTACTCTCGTAGCAACTTACAAATATACAGTACAGTATTATTGATTAGTTACTATGTTCTACATTACATCCCCATGACAGTGATATTATAACTGGAAGTTTATACCTTTTGACCATATTCACCCATATAATTAGTTTTTAACCTTCTATTATGATAAATGTCAAATGTATGTTATTTAGAGGGAATGGTACAATAAACCTCATATATCCACCACCCAAACATCAGTACTCATCAACTCATTCCTGTTCTTTCAAATTTGTATTATTCTGTTTTCTCTCTGTCCATTTCCTCTCCCTTCACCCTAAATGAATTATAGATAAGACTACTTTAAATTACTTTTTAAAGCTTATTTATTTTGAGAGAGAGAGGTGGGGAGGTGAGCATGAGTGGGGGAGGGGGCAGAGAGCAGGGGAGAGAAAAGAATCCCAAGCAGGCTCTGCACCAACAGGAGGCTTGATGTCACAAATCATTGAGATCATGACCTAGGCCAAAATCAAGAACTGGATGCTTAACCGACTGAGTCATCCACGTGCCCTGTTATAAACATTTATGCTATAATACCTACTGGGAACCTGTGAAGGGAGATACCAGCATACAGTCAGCTAAAGATAACACAGCACTATTTTATGAAGAGTTATAGGCCACTGTTAGAAGCATAAACAAACTCAACTTTTGGAACTTACTTCCAGAAATCTAGCCTACACTTATGACCACACAAATATGTAAAGATGCATATGTAGGGTGTACTGAGCAAATAATTGCATATATTCTTTATTTTAGTAATTCACAAATTATAGAATAATTCACAAATTATTCATATAATGGGAAGTTATAAAGCTATTGACAAGAATGAGGCAGATCTACCAGAAAGATGCTCACAAAGAAAGATGTTCAAACCATTTTGTCAAATGAGAAAAATAACATTCACTAAAAACTTATATCATGTATTTTATTTGTTAAAAAAAAGGAAAAGGTTATTATGGTTTTATATATGCAATTCATAACTGGTGATATAGTTGAAATGGTAAATTGGCATTTACCTGAAGTGTGGGTGCTTTGAGACTCTTCTGAGAAAGTTCTGGAAGACAGAGTACCCCACTATCTATGTGAAACATCTGAAGTTGAAAAAGAAAGCTACAGATTATTTCAAAAGATCCCTTTCTCTCTACTTACATTCAAAATTTGTCTTGGTCGAAAGTAAGTATTAAAACTTTTATCCACACTCTAGCAATGTATTATTAAACAATTACCTGTTTTATCTTCTCCTCCTCTTCTTCCACCTCACTTGTCAGAATTTGAATTTTGTTCTTTAGGCTGTGAATATTCCCAGTCATTGACTCTATGGTCTCTAGTATTTTATCTATTTCTTCCTGAGTCCAAAAAAGAAAGTTAATATTTTAAACTGAATATATTTTTAATTGGAACAAATAGGTACTAATATACATATACATATTTTTTAAATACCTCATATATTCAAACATTTTTGGAAGAAACTGTTTTTTTCCATTTAACTATATTTACCCTTTTGGCATATGGAGGTCCAGTTTTTGCTGTAAAACAGAAATGCTTTCAAGTATTATAAAAATCACAGTATCATTTACATATAAATTATTTATAATATATGTAAATTTGTTGCTCAGAATCAAACCCATCCAGTGTTGATCATGTGGAAAAATCAGAATAAATCCTAAATTCTGAATTAAGTCACTTTAAGAATTAAGGGAGAACTAGAAGAGCCTAGAGTGGTAACTAGAGAGGACATAGAAAGCCCTCATTAGATGTTGGCTGTAATGATAATAAGCAATATTAATAATAAAGAACATGCTCTTCTTGTCAATAAAGTATCATATTCAGGATGGAACAACTAATATATTTTTAAATTCTATAGCATTTTGTGATGAGCTCCTGTAATTTGATAATCAAAAACAGTAGTTTGGTTAGAGTCAGATGAAAAAAACAGAATTGCTAATCATTAATATATTAGAAATACTTTTAACTTTAGAGGCCCAAAGTTTAGGCAAAGGTTTTGCTTTGACTAATAATAATAATTTAATGAAAAACTTGTTCTAATATCTAGTATTGATTACTCAGAGAATATCATGATAATTAAAAAAAATTTCTTGTTCTCTTCCCCTTTCTCCAATGTCCCTAATTATGGACTCTGTTCAAATATCATACCTGCAATAATGCCAGACCTTCTTCATTAGCTCTGTGCTGTGTCCTTTCCATTTTCAGTAGACTTGACACACTGGTTAAGTCTTTCAGCTTTTTGGGAGGGACTTTAAGAGTTTCACACAGTTGTAGCAATCTTAGAGATAAAATAAAAACATAATTATGTTTCCTTTCTTACCATTATTTTTTGTTTTTTTGTTCTGTTGTGTTGGAAGTACTGTTGCCATCTTTTCTCTGCCCTCAGATTCCCAAGCACTATAATATTCTTTTATTAACAGTGACTAACATTAGCAGTGAAGCACCCATAAAAACCCGTGACACATCATCTTTAAACCTTTCAATAACCTGAAATCATAAAGCACTTAAACTGTTTCATGAAAGGAAAAAATTCTATTTTACACGTTTAACAATTAATTTTATTATATACATTTATTTATACAATTGAATTTTTATACAGTTTCATTTATACATATTTTAAAGTAAAACTTTCCTTGTATCTTCTGAAATTGTTTCCTGGACTATTATGGCACATAATTCTATAGTTTATTGTGATTATTGAATAAGAGATGGAACACTATTCTGTAAGTCATAATTACGACCCTGGACTCTATATTCCAGTTGTCTCAGACAATGTGACCAATGAAAAAGAACTTCTATATGAGTTACTCTAACAATGGCCTTAAAGATAAGTGAGTGCCATAGAGTTTAAGGCAAATAAAACATTAAGATTAAAGTGCTTTGTTCAGGGGTGCCTGGGTGGCTCAACTGGTTAAGTGTCCAACTTTGGCTCAGGTCATGATCTTGTTTCGTGAGTTTGAGCCCAATGTCATGCTCTGTGCTGACAGCTCAGGGCCTGGAGCCTGTTCTGGATTCTGTGTCTCCTCTCTCTTTGCCCCTCTCCCACTCATGCTCTCTCTCTCTCTATCAAAAATAAATAAATATTTAAAAAATAAAGTGCTTTGTCAAAAGTACTATCAACATAAATGCTTAGTCAATATTATTAAATATATTATAAATATAAATATAATATATTCAATATTAAAGTTAAATCCTTTCTAAATACATAAAGGAAAAAATTTAAAAACAAAAAGAAAAAATACAAATTAAAAACATAATAAAGTTAACACAACAAAACAAGGCTAAGAAATCCTCCTTCAAATCAGGTTGATTACATCACCAATAGAAACTAATCTATTACTACCTTCATTTGTAGCCAGGAGCAATATAGCTTTCCTAGATTTGATTACTGAATTCAAGGAAGAAATCAAGGAGGGAAAGCAAATTTGGTTGCATCTACCTAATAGCAGCATTTTGGTATTCTCAAAAACCCTACAACTTAAGATTTGCAGGCAATTCATTTTTTTTTCTCTTTTTATTTTTTTACTTTTTCTTACAAATAGTTTATTGTCAGGTTGGTTTCCATATAACACCCTGTGCTCATCCCCACAAGTGCCCTCCTCCATGCCTATCTCCCCCCTCCCCCCCACATCCATCAGTCCTCAGTTTGTTTCTCAGCATTCAAGAGTCTCTCATGGTTTGCCTCTGTCCCTTTTTAAACAACAGTGAAAACCAAAACTCATCTTCCTGGTATCTTATTCAAAATAATAATTTTTGTAAAGAAAAAAGTAGGCAATGTAAACCTCAGCAAATATAATTTTCATTAAAGTGTTAGGATAAACTTCAGTTATCCAATCATTAGTCCATCATCTTCAAGAATAAACACCTATGTGTATAAGTCTTTCTAAGAGGGGGAAGTTCTTGATTTCTTAACTAAAATAAAGATCCATTTATGAACAATGTCTTCTAAAAGTTTATTGTTAATTCTGTGGAAGGGTCACTATTTTTTTTTAAATGTTTTATTTACTTAAGTAACCTCTACATCCAACGTGGGGCTTGAACTCACAACCTCGAGGCCAAGAATCACACGCTCTTCCCACTGAGTCAGCAAGGTACCCCGGGTCACTCACTATTCTAAATGTTCTAAATAGTGGTCAGATTTGCAGGATATTTACAAAATCTCATTAAAATAATAGTGTAACATGAATACAACCTACTATGCCAACAACACCTAACTACCATTTATAACATTTTTCTATAGGGCATGTTCCTCTAGAAACTGTAGTAGCTAAGCCATTTTGTTTGACTAGCAACCCCGCTTGTCTGGTGGTGGATATGTATATGATACAGTCTGTATGAATCCTAATAGCTCTTGCCACAAAATCAGTTCTAAAGATAGGTGTAGCACCTAAGCTGGGCCAATCAAAGCCCATTACCAGAATTTTCTAGCTGAAGCTAAGAGGATAAAAGTTCTTTCTCCTCGGGGCGCCTGGGTGGCTTAGTCGGTTAAGCGTCTGACTTTCGCTTGGGTCATGATCTCGCGGTTCGTGGGTTCGAGCCCCGCGTCGGGCTCTGTGCTGACTGCCAGCTCGGAGCCTGGAGCCTGTTTCAGTCTGTGACTCCCCCTCTCTCTCTGACCCTCCCCTGCTCACGCTGTCTCTCTCTCTCTCTCCTAGAAATAAATAAAAAATATTAAAAAAAAAAAAAAAAAAGTTCTTTCTCCTCTTCACAAGGCTAAAGAAATAAATAGGGACCTGTCTAGGTTTACAGTTCTAAGTTAGCGAGGACAACTTATCTAAAAGAATGAAGCCAGGGTTAAGTGTCCGACTTTGGCTCAGGTCATGATATCATGGTTCATGGTTTTGAGCTCTGCGTCTGGCTCTGTGCAGACAGCACAGAGCCTGGAGACTACTCTGGACTCTCTGTCTCTGTCTCAAAAGTAAATAAATATTAAAAAAATTTTTTTTTCAAAGAATGAAGCTAACATGTGGCCAGAAGCAGAGATGAGACTAACACATGAAATAAAGAGTTCCTGTGGTAAATACCAATTCTGGAGGTGCTAGGTTAAACAAAATGAAATATATTTATTCACTATCGAGTTTTTATAATATGCTAATGCACCCAAACATAATTCATTATATGTCAGTTTTATTCAGAGTACCTTTAAGAACAAGTATTCCAAATAGACTTTGAAAAATGCCACGACAGGAAGTTTATTCAGAGATCCAACTAGAATCAATGGACTATGGCAGTACTCTGCTATATATCAGTAGAAGGAAAAGTATCTTGAGGATTGTTACTTTGGAAACCAAAGGACTGAGTTGTGAAAGCAAAAATGAGACAACAGGCAGTCTCTGAAATATGTATCTCCATAGGGCTACGTGGTAGAGAGAGAGCTTAAATGCTGAACAGAATTTAATCTTTTCTGAAGACCCAGGGTGATCCATCACTGTGAAGAGCATTTATGTAGTGTGATATTCTCATTCACACAGACATGACTTATTTGTTCTATATTAAAAAGGCAATAAATGGCTATGCTTTTATTATATATCAGCTTTTATACTGGCTTTTTAGTACACTTCCTTCCCCTTTAATATTAGGCTGTCGTTCCCACAAGCAGATGGCAGATCTGCTTCTCTCAGTCCTTCTCTCCTCTCTCCAGTCTCTCCACAAACTCCCAGCCCCCACCCATGCTTTCTGTTTTTCTACTATTGTTGATATTATACTTCAAGTGAGCAGAATTTGTATTTAGTTTCCCAAGAATAACTAAGAGGTCAAGATCATTTCCAGGCAAATGTGAAAATAAGATGCAGAACATTTCTGTACAAAAAGAAAAAGTTGTGCAAATAGTAGTCACTGAAAATCACTGGCAGTGGTCTGGCTACTAAGAACACTTGAAAAGAAGCTTCCATTTGTGACTTGCCACAAGATGGAGAGCAGTAATGCCCAGGAGAATTACATTTGCTGCTTATGAAAACAATGTAATGCAACATATGAAGTGAAGAAAAAACATAGCCACCAAATAAATATCAGATAAGAATGGTAAACTGTTAACTTCAAATTGGACAAAATGAAGATCAACGAAGTTAAAACTGACAAAATATTTTTTCAAATCCCAATACAAAATAATGAACTATGGAAGTAGGCATTTTGTGATTTTCAGACTCTATTTATATAAATTCTCTGAACCTCAGAATCTCATGCAGCAGCCGTTTGGAATACACATTTCCAAATTGTTCATCTTCTTAAGACAATAAAAACAACAACACCAACAACTAACACCCAAAATGAAAGAAAAACTTTGTATCCCACAAACATCTGTTCTGGTAACATAGGAACAGACTAATTATATTTTAACAATTTTCTATTGTATAACTGTATTACCTTTTCTTCAGATAGTTAAGATGATACTGAACTTGTTCATGTTCTCTAATATTGTTGCTCAAAACTGCTCTGGAAAAGAAAAAAGATATTGAATAAATAATAGCTTGAAACACAACTAATACAATCTGTTTACTTTTTCTCCCTGATTTTTTTCATATGTCTCTTACTAGCCAGGAAGAATCAATCACTTTTTATGTTAAATACATTTTAAGCAGAAACAGAATCAAAGTTCTTTTTATTATATTTCATTGTAATTAATTTAAACAAGTTCAATTTCTTAATGGTAGAATCCATTGTTGTGTATCCCCTTTAGCATGATGGTGGCTTACATATAGTGCCAATTCAACTAAACTTATTCCTAAATATCCCCAGTGATAGAACAAGTTTAAAGTTTACAAATAGCAGATCATGCCACATAGACTTTCTTTTTCTTTCTTTGATGAATTACTAAGCTTCTGACATTAGAAAAGACTTCTTGCTTAAGGCTGATAGCATCAGAGGACATTACTTATATCTTCTTCTAAAAGAGAATAATACCCTATCACCATAAAATAAATAATGAGTTAATAGGATACCGTTTATAGGAAAGGTGAGTAGAAATCAGGAGTGAAAAAACTTCATACTTACATTATTACTGATTCCATCATAGTTTGTAAATGCTCTCTGCTACTTTTTGAAAGAGGTTGCCAGGTTTTTCTTTTGTTGGATGCTATATTTACCTGTCTTAGATTAGTAAACTCGGTTTGTCCTGTTATTGGTAAAGGAAGAGACTCTGGTCAATCTCAGTTTTATGTTTTTACTTAAGAAGAGTTTCAAGTATAAATTTAATTTAACAAGCTAATAGAATTACAAGAAGCAAAATATTATAAAACTGCAGGAACTGTTTAACTTCCTTTTTATTGCACAGCCATAATATGCCAAGTGTCAAATATGAATATGCTATTATGTTACATAAAATACTACTAGCTGATACTGCAGATACAAACCCATGACAATACTAAATAAAGAACCAGGCTACACTTATTACAATTCAATATAAAAGTGTGGTTTCCAGACATGATGTGAATTAAAGAGCTTCATTGAGAAGACTAGAAAGCTATTTTTACCAAATTTTGAATGGCAACTGCAACAAAATATTCAAGGTCTCCTAGGTTGTTGATGTTCTGCTTATAAGGGATAAACAAAAGATATGCTACTAGCTCCTCTGAAGATTAGTTTTGGAGAGAAGGGAGATTAAATAATTATAATTAGAAGAATGCAAAGCATTATAAAAGAAAAAGTTCTATGCACTATGTGCGTTGTGGTAATATAAAACCAGAGGACCTAGCTTGGTCTTGGTGAGAAGAGGGAAGGAATTCTTCGATGAAGTGATGCTTAAGTAACGGTGACTGCTCCAAACTAGTTTACTCTCAACAAAATTGGACTGTTGCATATCTGTTTTAAAGAGAAATCAGTAGACGTGTCTCCATGTCAAAAATCAGCAGTAATTCATACTGTGGGAGACTTCGATTTTTTCTAGTTCCTCTCAATTTAGAATCCTACACCATATTTTGCTAGAGGTGGTTAAGTAAAATTTCAGTTGAGGAAAATAACTAACTAGTACTACTTACTCTTGCAAAAATGAGAATGCAGCTGTTTATCACTATCTTCTGCAGAACTTATCAACAAGATGCTGAGAATTTTTTCATGGAAACTATAGTATTGAGACAGACAGACACGTTAAACAAGATAGAGAAAATAAATACCTTCAAAAGGCAGATGCTTTGGATTTTTATTTTTTGCCGTGTTTCTAACCTAGAGGAAAAAACACGTGCACACATAATAAAACATCAGATAAGAAGATACTGCTTTTGCAATATATTTGCCCTGTATGTTGAAGAGTATTCATATATCTTCTGGCTAGATAGAAAAAGTATATTGCCACTTCTACAGAGCAGGAGTGTGTATTTATCACAGGCAATGGCTATACTAAAGCAATTCCTGGACAATGGTGATAACGTATAACAGAATTCCACAGTGTCAAACAATGTTTTAAAGAAATCATTAGTCACTTTGCCTATGAAATAGTGTTATATACTTCACCTACAGAAAAACACAGGCACTGTCCAATATAGGGGTAAACACATTTTAAAAATTATTTTATAATAAAAATTTTGGAAGAGAGGAATAAAATTATGGTAGAAGCTAATTCCTCCCAAAGTAATTTTTTCTCTGTGTTAATAAAAATCTCCTAACTCACAGATTTTCCTACCTTTTAACATGGAATTTGTATACACTTAATTTCTATCTTCACACTTAAACCTAGCAATGCCCCATTACCCCCTCCTCCACAAATAATTCTCTGACTGATATGTTTAGAAACTGAAATAAATAATTTTCATCTGAGAACTTTTACAAATCATATTGCAACAGTTCCCACACGATAATATGAATTACTACAATTTGTAGTAAAACTGAACTTTAGTCTTCACATACTCCTTTACATAGAACAGATGATATTTTTAATCACAAAGTTCTGAATGATAAACTCAATATTTTCATTACCTTTTTCTTTGGTAACTCTACTTCCTCATCATCAATTTTTCTTTTTGGGTTTCTTTTTAACTGTTGAGATCTTTTCTTGGAAGCACCTGCTTTGTTAGACATCTTGATTAAACAGAACAATCATAACAGTGCTTCAAAAAATCTGGAAAGATAAAAATGACACAGAAAAACAAGCTTAAGTTTGCATAATATATTTTGTTAAGAAGAACTACCTATAAATGTTGTAAATTTGCTTGAAGACATTTAAACATATTTCAAAATAAACAACATCAGTTATTATTATAAGTGTGCCTAATTCAATTTCATTCCTAAAAATATCTTCCATTTTTATGGCTTTAAAAAATTACTTGAAAATGCTTTTGCATCTCTTACTTTATACTCCCCCATACAATAACATTATCTCCATGTTTAGATAAAAGAAAATGGAAATATGAGGTAATAAGTTGTCTTACTCTGGTCACAGATATTATCAATTTGAAAAGTAATACTCAAGTCTTCTTATTTTAAGCCCAATGGAGTTCTCATTCACCTTATGCCAAAAATGAAAGGAAATAATCTTTAGGATCATACTATTAATCTATGTTGTGGAAACTCACGTGGAAAATTCACTTATAAGAATTTAAGCCATAACTGCCTGGGCTATTTTGCAATTTAAAAAGGCACAGAAGTATACGGATTATCCTCCCACAAATTACAAAACAGACACAGGAGTGGATGAAGATGTCAGTGACGACATTTAGAATGACTCCTTTTCCCTATCTAATAGTCCTTTATCACCATACTTATTACTATTAAAAGGAAAGAGAAATTGCATTAGACCATAAGGAGTATATAACTTGGAAGTTAGGTACAGTATACATGGAGGGGTATGTGTGTTTGTGTGTGTGTATTTGTAGACATACCTGGGAGATATTGCAGGTTCTGTTCCAGACCACTGCAATAAAGTGATTATTGCAATTAATGAGTCAAATGAAATTTTTGGTTTCATTTGCACATAAAAGTTATGTTAGATGTACAATAGTATTATGTCTAAAAAACCCTCAATGTACATACCTAATTAAAACACTTAATGGCTGAAAAATGCTAACCATCATCTGAGCTTTCAGCAAGTTGATCACTGAACCCCATAACAAATACAATATTAATGGAAAAGTCTGAAATATCCAACAATTCCCAAAATGTAACAGAGACAGGAAGTGAGCAAATGCCACTGGAAAAATGGAGTCTAAAGACTTGCTGATGCAGGATTGCCACAAACCTTCAATTTGTAAAGAACACACAGTATCTGTGAAGCGTGATAAAATGAGGTATGCTTGTATACACACACATGCATGTGGTGTGTAAATTACATATATATGTTTTCTAGGCATATATAGATGTTTCAGTCACCGTTTCTTTTCTAAAAATTCAGAGTTTAAATATATATGGAGACTGAGAAATAACAAAGGAGGTACTTCGGATAAATCTATTTCTTTAAATTTTAAAAGGTAAAGTTTCAAGAGTTTTTTCAGTAAAATTAACAAAAATAGGGGGACATAATTAATTAAAAGATCACAAACTACACTTGGGGACTACTTGTAAGATCGTTTACAAAAAGCAGTGGATGCTAAAATATGCTTTACCCTGCTCTTGAACAATGTGGTACTTTACACCCAGTCTCTTGTGTTATATTCTTGAGATGCCTAATTTTCTCAACTTGACATCCATGCCCTTATACAATATACGGTGGAAATGATTCTGTACCAGTTTACTGGCCTAAACATGAAAAGAATGGCAGCTGCAACTTCATCACTTTTGGAATATTTGCTCTAGGAACCCAGCTACCATGGTATGAGGAAGGCTAACATTGAGAGGAATGGAAGCCCCAGGCCAAAGCCCCAGATGAACTCCCAACGAACATCCACCACCAACTTGCCAGCATGGCATGTACCTGAGCCAATCAATATGCTGCAGCTGACCCTGCCTGGAAAAGACAGGAGTCAGCCCTACCAAGTTGCTTCTGATCCCAACCAAATTCCGGAACAAAATACATTATTTTCTTAAGTTAAAAAAAAAAAATCCTTCCCTAATATCTAGCATCCAATACCCAAACTCTTTACCATGCCATTTACAGTCCTTAACAATCTAGCCCTGGGGTGCCTGGATGGCTCAGTGGATTAAGCTTCTGACTTCAGCTCAAGTCATTATCTCAAGATTTGTGGGTTCGACCCCCTAGTCGAGCTCTGTGCTGATAGCTCAGGGCCTGTAGCCTGCTTCGGATTCTGTCTCCCTCTCTCTCTCTCTGCCCCTCCCCTGCTAATGCTGTCTCTCTCAAAAAAATGAATAAACATTAGAAAAAAATTAAAAACAAAACAAATCTATTTCTGCCTAGGTTTCCATACTTTTCTTCCACTACTCCTCATAAGACTCTCTCTCTCTAGCTAGATTTGATGGTTTCCTGAACACACTATGCCCTCTACCTGAGCTGGTCTCCTGTCTCTGTCCACCCTCCCAGAGCATGAGCCACCTGCTTTCCATGACTCCTAACCACTTCACTCCACTCTAAAAGTCTGTGGGATCCTGTGGCCTCTAACTCTCAGCTGGCACTTATTTATAGTTTGGTTCTGCTAATCCGTTTTTCCTGATATTCTTTATTCAAGAACATGTAATTTACTGTTATGCCAAATTTAACTTACAAACTGTGACAGTCCTTTTAAATATACATACTGACAGTATATACATTTAGAAACTTTTATCGCAATTTGGCAACAATTTTATGTGTGTTGAACCGGATTATAAAATAATTGGCTTTGTTTTTTTCTTTTTAAATGTCATTTTCCCAGTAATTTATTTAAAAAAAAAAAAACCCATCACTTTCTTTTTTTAGAGACGTTTAAGGTTCACTGCAAAATTAAGCAGCAAGCATACAGAGTACCCATACACCCTCTATACCCACTCTCAGCCTTCTCCACTACCAACATCCCACTCCAAAGTGGTGCATTTGCTACAACTTATGAACTTCCACTGATATATCCATCACCCAAAGTTTACGGTGGGGTTTATTCTTGGTGTTATATACTCTATGGGTTTGACTAGTAATTTATTATGCGTTGTAGTCTACAAAAGAATCAGTTGTGACTGATTAAAAGTTAAAAAAAAAAAAAAGTTGGTCCTTTATTACTAGCAAGAGAAGATGCATCATTTTCATCGATACCTATTTGAGGCACTAAACCATAGCACAAAAAGTTTCTCAACCTCGGCTGTATCATTTTGGATGGGGTAACTCTTTGTTGTGAAGGAGGCATTGTAAGATCTTTAGCAGCAGTTCTGGTCTCTAGTTGCCAGCACCCTCTCTTTGCAGGCCCCCCAAGTTGTGACAACCAAAACTGTCCCCAGACATTATCAAATGTCCCCTGGTATGAATGCACTTCAGATTGAGAACCACTGCCAAGAGCAAGTCAGGGATAAGGATAAATGGCCTAGTTCCAAATTCAGACTCTGCCATTTAACTAGTTGTACAATCTTAGGCAAGTAAATTTGTTCAATTTCCTCACTGGTAAAATGGGTTAAAGTTAAAAGCACCAACATTGAAGGCTTCTGTGAAGCTAAAAGGTTGTACAAAACACGTAAAGTGCGTAGAACATAGTAAGATTCAATAAAGAAAAGTCATAATTTTCTATCACTTTTGGGCTAGTTGTAAAGGAACTAAAATAGAAATTTTAATGTAAATGGAAAAAAAAATTTTTGCCCTGTTTTAAATCCACAGGAAACCACAGCCTAGCGGTAGTGGGTAGAGACAGATATGAAAACAAATGCTATATAAAATCACAGACCACGTGAAAAAACTATAAAAGACAAGTGAATGACTATCTTGATTTGATGTGTGTGGGGTGGGGGGTGGGGGTTGAGAGGAGAATGCTATATGGTATGCCGGAAAAAAAAGTAATATGTTAATTACATTTTGAAATATTTAGCCAGAAGGACCAGGAATGAAGTATATGAGAGAAAACAGCAAAAGCCTGATGCAGAACAGTTTAAAAGAAACTGGTCGGGGACAAGGAAAATTCAGTGATACTTTAAGGTGTATGGCCGTAATGGGCACAAATAAGACTCGAGTAACGGACAGAAATAGGGCTGGAACTGTAGTTTGCGCCCAGACTCTATACTGCAGTAAAGAATTTACCCTTAGTAGGAAACAGGGAGGCATCCTCAGCTGTCTTGTTTTCCTCACCGGTTTGCTGAAATTCGTGGAAACGAAATCTCTCGGTCTAGGGCTCTACAGAGGCGCACAGGGTGAGCACGGTCTGGCAAAACACAAAAATACGCTATGTTTACCTCCTGACAAATGCATCGGGATAGCGGCGCTGCCGACCCAAGTTACATCAATGCCAAAAGACCCTCATCACTAGAGCTGCACTTCGCCCCACGACGGGCCGCAGGATGTTAAGGAAAACGAACGAGGAGAAGGATGCACTGAGGAAAGGAGGAAAGGAGGAACCAGGCGTGGCTTCACTCCGGCCTCGCGAAACCAATAGTTCAATCCTGGGCCCCGAAAATGATTTCCCTCTCACTGGAAAATCATCTCACGCTCCCTAAATAGAAGCCGCGGAGACTGCCATAATCGCACTGGCCACAAAACTCATTCCGCAAGCTGGACGCACCGGCCGACTAAAAGCTTTCACTACTCACCAAAGGTGCCTCTTGAACACTCCAAGGAGCCAAACGCTGAGAAATTCGCGCCCAAACCACTGAAAGCCGAGGAGGCCCGGAAGTGGACGCGTAGAAACCGGAACACGGGTGTAGAGAGGCGGGCGTCCAGCCGCACTAACGTCATCAGAAGCGCGCCCGCGGGAGCGCGACAAGATTGGCTGCAGGGAGGGCGGTGTCCGCCTACGCCCCTTGACTTCTTCAGCTGACTTGTGCGCAAGCTCCTTGAGGGGCTCAAGTGTGTGGATCTCAGACTTCCCGGGCTTTGGTGTCTGAAGTCTAGCCGCCCTCCCTCACAGCCGAGGTCCGAGACAGGCAGGCCAGTGAGTAAGACTGTGTACCTAGGGATGTCAGCCTTTCACTTCCCTCCATTCTCGGACTCCTTTCTCCCCATTTACCCATGTCCTCTGAGCCTGTCCTTTTCCTCCTCCCAACTTCCTTATTTACCTTCCCACTATGACGGCATCCCGCTCCCCTCTAACTTCTCCTTGGGTTTAAAGTCTCCACCGACTTCTCTAAAGCGTGATCAGTGGGAATTCGGAGGTACTTCGGGAAAGAAGGTGCTTGTTCGCCTCGGGGGCTATGTCGCCATCTTCCCTGGCCACCCCCAACACCCCCAGATGCCGCTAGGCAGGGGGCGCTTTCAAGATTGCAGAGGGGCGCGCTGGCTCCACAGCTGTCTCTCTTCTAGGCTGTAGCTCTTGTTACTGTGAGGTTGTTTGTATGAGGTGGAGCACCGAAAGTGACTTTGTGTATACTTGTGGATCTAAGAGTAAGAGGTGAAGTAGGAAAGACAGGTCTAAATTGACATAAAATTGCAAATTACTAACTTGTTCAGTTTTATCTTGAAATAGCAATCTTCGAGATGCTCGAAACCTTGGATAATGTGTGTATGTGTATTTTAAATCACTTGATTTTCTCCCATATGTTTATGTTAATATTAAATACAATTTGCATGCTGTGTATTGTCATCTCCAACACAAATTGGTTGAACATTGGAGTTGGTTAGCCTTTCCTGAAGTATTAATGTGCAACCACATACTAACAATCAAAACTTGAAAGTTATTTGATTCAGAATGGTAGGTATTTTACCCATATTGGGGGGGGGGGTTTGTAGGGATGAGCTTCATCATTACTATTTAACATATCGTAATCATCAATAACATATTTGCTTTACATGTCTCTTCTTTGGATGCTTGAAGCCTCTTCACGGCTCTTCTGAGAAAAGTCAGAAGTCCTCTTTTCATCGGTTGTAGTTGTAGTAGTTGTGTTCTTACCTAAAAATGATGTCTAGTTCCAGCCTTTACCAATTTGCCATGTGATTTTCTGTAAGTCACTTAATAGAGGGCTCTTTCCTATCATTTGTCCAGGTTTGGGGAACCAGTATTTTATGTAAACGAGTGTGATATGTTCTGTCTACAATCTCATATCAGGCAGTTTTCAAATTACCTTTTATATCATTTCCGTAGAGGTTCAGTCATAATTTATTTTTCTCACGTATTTTTAAGCTAGTACATGTAGTTTATACTTGCAAGAAGATGGATGACAAGGACCCCATGGATATAATAGAATAAAAATCATAGCTTTGAAAGAATAAAGGGAATTCTTCTTTTCTATTTCTTTTTACACTTTGTACTATGTACTTTTTACCCAGTTGAACATATCACATTCACAGTGTTTTGTCTTGATGCTTTCACGTAATACTTTTTGAGCCTGTCTCCTTTTTAAAGAAACTGCGTAACATATATTTTAAATTTGACTTATGTATAATAATATATTTACATATCTATAAGTGCACATAATTGTGCAGTTTGACGAATTTCTACAAACCGAATACATCTGTATAATCAGCATTCAGATTAAGACCATCACCCCAAAGCACCTCTCTTGTTCCCTTTCTGTCCTAGCCACCATAAGTAACCACTCTCCCGACTTCTGACATTAAACATTGGTTTTGTCTATTTTCTAAATATATTTTAGTGCTATGTAAAATTCTATCACTTGTATATACTATTATTCACTTATTCCTACATTGTTAGACATTGATGTTTCTAAATTTTCTTTATTACAAGTAAAACTATAGGAAACATGTATTTTTATTTAGTAACTTTCCTAGCAGTGTTGTTCCTCAGTGGAATGGCATAATCAGCCCTGACACTTTTTGTGCATATTGCTAATTTGCTTTCCAAAGTAATTAAAGCAGTTAGTATTCCCACCAGTGGTTTGTCTTTTGTTTCACAACCCTCTAACAAATGTTGAGTATTCTTATTTTCCTTTAAGCTTCATTAAATTGATAGGTAAGAAATGGTATGGAAAATAGAATTTTAAGCTCACTTTTCTTGTTACCTTATACATTATAGAGCACAATTTATATTAATAAAATTTGCATCTCAAAACATGTTAAAATACTAGTCTCTATATGTTGAAGCTGTATGACTATAGCAAGTATTTACTTAATTCAGATGAACAGTGGAATTTCGATCAAGCTTCTTTACTCATTTATTTCTCTGGATCTTCATTTCTATGTGTAAAATGGTGAAATCACACTTAGTCATTTAGTGTAAGACTGTGCTAGTTATTAGGAATATACAGCCCTAATGTTGGGTCAGTTAATAAACTAGCAGAGAAATATATATATACGTATATGTGTATAATTTTATACATCTTATATAAATAAATATATTCTATAGAAATGTACAAAACAGTGTTCTAATATGTAGTAGTGTGAGAGATGACAGATGTCTAAACAGAGAAACAGTGCTGTGGTATGGACTACTGAAGAGGCCATTTATCCCATTACGTGAGTTCAGGGAAAACCTTTGAGTGTATTATTTAGATGCTAGGACTTTGAAACCTAGTGCTGCCTAGGTTTAAATGCTGGCTCTTCTGTGTCTCAGTTTCCTCATCTGTAAAATGGGGGTAATATTAGTACCTATCTTGGTGATGTTGTGAGGATTAAAATTGCTGTTCTGTGTAAAGAAAGTCCAGTGCAGCAGTGTAAAGTGCAGCAGTGCCTGGCATGTAGAAAGCTGTGTGTATTGGAGATGATGCCTTAGCCAGGTTAGCCAAAGAATATTCTAGGAAGATGGAAGAGCTAGAGCAAATCACAGAACTTTGATATATGCAGGGAGCTATAGGTTATTTAGTATTTCTAGAACAGTGATGAGTCTGAGCTAAGCATTGATCAAATCATAGAGACCTTGAATGCCTATTTCTCTTGTTCTCCACTATTTTCTCCAGCACCCAACACAATGCCTATCATAAAGTAGATGTTCAAAATATTTTCAATGAAGAAATTAGAAGACTCTACATAATGCAGAATGTTTGAAAAATCCTAAGTGAAGTGTGACATGACATATTTGCCTCAGTGTCAGTGTTTAGAATGGACTAGAGGCTCTAAGATTGGCCAGTAAAACCAGCTAACAAAGTATTGAAGAAGAAGACTAGAACACTGATAGTAGTTGTGGAGAAGAAGGGCCAAAGATGAAATATGAGATGTAGGAAGCAGAAAAGGAGAAGTGATAAAATCATACTAAAATGCCTTGATTTTTCCGTTCTCACCAATAATCCCCATTTTGCCTTTTGTAAATACATGTATACTGTACTTCTTTTTCTAGGCCAGATCTTGTTCTTTTTGGATGTTTTCCATGCTGCATCATGTTGAGGGCTAAGACTCAGCTTCTTTTGTTTTCATCTCATCACCTGAAGCAGCTCAAAGGGTCATCAGGATCCAGACTCATATGGCGGAGACTTCTGCACCAGCAGCAACCCCTGCACCCAGAATGGGCTGCCCTGGCCAAAAAGCAGTTGAAAGGCAAAAACCCAGAAGACCTGATATGGCATACTCCAGAAGGGATCTCCATAAAACCCTTATATTCTAGAAGGGATACCAAGGACTTACCTGAAGAACTTCCAGGAGTGAAGCCATTCACACGTGGACCATATCCCACCATGTATACCTTTAGGCCCTGGACCATCCGCCAGTATGCTGGTTTTAGTACTGTGGAAGAAAGCAATAAGTTCTATAAGGACAATATTAAGGGTGAGATTTTCATGCAAAACATGATATTTGTGATCAACCATACATTTCTTGTTCTTGGCTTCTTTTGAAGGGAGATTAGTTGATCTCTAAAACTGACAGTCACTTTATAATTTTGTAGTTAAGACTATATGCTGAAAAATATGAATGTTTTTCAACTTCCATGGTCAAAAAGATGAGTGATCCAAAATAGGGTGCTAAATTCTTGAATGCCAACAACAGTTCCATTCATGTCATATAAAAGGAATTTAAACTTGTATGACAAAAAGAGACATTGGCTTTTTCTTTGAGAAGCTTTTTTTAATTTTTTTTTTTTCAGAGAAAGAGAAAATGTTTGTAAGCGAAGGGGGAGGGGCAGAGGAAGGGGGAGAGAGAATCCCAAGCAGGCTCCACACTCAGTGCCAGTGCAGAGCTTGACACAGGGCTTGAACTCACAATCCATGAGAACATGACGTGAGCCCAAATCAAGAGTCAGATGCCCAATGAACTGAACCATCAAGATGCACCTTTTTGAGTTTTTAATTAACATTGTCAGGATAGGAATTGAAGAGGAAATAGCTTAAATAAAGCCCAAATAAAATAACACACAAATGATAATGTACAAATATATTTAGTGCATTCTGGCATTTATATCTCGAAAAATTATATTAACTCTCTGATCTATATTAAAATTATCTTTGAATGCTAAATTTGAGGATCTGATTTGAGGATCTGTCTGTATTTCACATGGAGGATGATCTTATATTTAGTGTAGACTGTTTTATTATTTTTTTTGCCTGGTGTTCATAGTTCAGTTTCCCAGAGTATTTGCATAGCCAAGACATCTTATTACGACCATATTAAACACAAGAACAAAAATAAGTGCGCATATAAATACTATGTTATGTTAACAATTTGTGAACAGCCAGATCTTTTCATGAATCTTAAAAAGTATTTTTACCGCGTGGTGCCTTAGTGACTCAGTTGGTTAAGCATCCAACTCTGATTTTAGTTCAGGTCATGATCTCAGATTGGTGAGGTTGAGCC